CTTTACTTCTGGTGCAAAAGCAGGAGGCAGCTTACCGAAGCAGAAAGCAGAGCGTTATCTCTGGCATGTAGATGATAAGCAGTCATCCAGAGAAGCCAAAAGAAAACAGCTGGGCTGCAAAAACAAATTACTCTCTAGTCGCTGTGCTGTGTCTTAAAATAGCTATTAATTTCCCCCAACAACCACATCCCCACAGAACCTTTTCTTTGTTCACACAGAAGTGGAGAGAGACAGAGAAAACAGAGATAGATATATCTCTGGTGTCTCTTAGAAAAACACTAGTCCTGTTGGATTAGGATTCCATCTCTTGACTTCACTTAATCTTAATTATCTTCTTAAAGACATGGCTACACTGGAGGTTAGGGCTATAACATACAAATTTTAGGGGAACACAATTTAATCCATAACATTCAACCCAAAAGTCACATTCTTGGTAAAGTAGTCTTGGTTGTAGGTCCTTGCTTTTCATCACTTTGAACATTTTATGTCAATCCCTTCTGGCCTGAAATATTTCTGTTGAGAGATCAGCTGACAATCGTATGGAGCTCCCTTTCAAGTAATTACCAGCTTTTCTTCTTGCTGCTTTTTAAGATTCCTTTTTGCCTTTAACCTTTGCCATTTTAATTATGATGTGTCTTGGTATGGACCTCTTTGGGTTCATCATGTTTGGGACTCTGTGCTTCCTGGACTTGTATGTCTTTTTTTTTCCACTAGATTAGGGAAATTTTTGGTCGTTGTTTCTTCAAATAGGTTTTAGACCCCTTGCTCTCTCTTTTTCTGCTTGTACCCTTCTAATGTGGATGTTGTTACATTTCTCGTTGCCCCAAAGTTCTCTTAAACTGTCATCGTTCTTTTTTATTTTGTTTCTTTTTGCAGCTCTGATTGTGTGTCTTTTTTCTCTCTTGTCTTCCAAATTGTTAATGTGATCCTCTGCTTCGTCCAGCCTGCTTTTTATTACTTCCAATGTATTCTTGATGTCAGCTATGGTATTCTTCATTTCCAACTGGTTCTTTTGCATGGTTTCTATGTCTTTTTCATGCTGTTATAGTTCTAAGTTCCTTGAGAATCCTTACCACCATTACTTTGAACTCTATATCTGACAGATTGCTTGCCTCTATTTCATTTAGCTCTTTTTCTGGAGAGTCTTCCAGTTCTTTCACTTTGGGCCTATTTCTTTGTCTCCCCATTTTGGATATTTTTTTCTATTTATGTATTAGATAGATCAACTATGACTCCCAGTCTTCATGCAGTAGCCTTATGTAATAGGTGTCCTGTGGGACCCAGTGGTGTGATCTCTTTGATCTCCTGCACTGGGCGCTCTTGAAATATCCCTTGTTTGGGTTTTGGGGGGTCTCCCTGTTATAATTCATTCTTGATTGCTGTTGGCCCATTTGCACATGGGATGGACTCTCAGGCTTTCTGACTATGAAGCTCAACTCTAACCATGGTGTGTGAACTGCTGTGCAGGTGCTGACCAAAAATAGACAAAAAATAAATAAAAACAAAATAAATATAAGATTAAATGAAAAAAAAGAAAAAGGGGGGGAAGGGGAAAACAAGGAAAGAAAAGGAAATAAAGAAGAACAAGAAAAGAAAAAAAGAATAGGCAAAGAAGAAGAGAAAAAAAGAAGGAAAAACAAAAAAAGAAGGAAATAAAGAAATAGAAATGAAAGAAGCAAAAAATTAAAAAGAAAACAACAGTGTTCTTCTCAGCAGCATTTAGTGTCTGCTATGAGCTGTCTTTGGATATGCTATTTGTGATGTGTGTTGGGTCTTGCTGTGATGCTGGCCACTTGGCGTATTGGTTCTGGGCTCTTTGGGAGGGACTCTGACACAGGCCAATGTCAGATGCTGCCTGGCTCTAGGCCACCTGTCTGGAGCTATAAGCAATGCACAGTCTGTGTATGCCTTTGTCAGACCTGTCTGCACACAGGAAAAATGAAGCTTAGCTTCAAGGCCTGGTTTTACCAGCACCAGGCCCAGAGGCAGCCAGCAAACATCCCAATGCATTCCAGGATATGTCTCTTCGCCTCTTCCACCCACCAGCTGTCTGCCAGACTCAGTCACTGAAAGAGCCTCTGGTAGAATCGAGAGGATGAGTCTAGTGGATCTCCTATGATAATGTTACAGAACAACAGGTCTGAGGGGGGGGCAATATTTGGCCCACCTGGGGATGCTAAAAACTGCTACAGAACAGGGGTCCTTCCCAAGGACAGAATACTAATATCTACTGGGCTCTTCTGTCCACTGCCAATTAGAAGGACATCTCTCAATGCTAGAGATTTATGAAAAGGAAACAAAATGTTTATTTAATGCTATTTAGGCTTAATGCCTCCACTAAAATATCAAAGTCTTTTAGGGTATACACCTACACCCACACAGCTCTTGCTTCTCCCACTGTCCCAACTCCGGGTACCATAAATCAGGAAAGGAACACTCATCTGTTTTTCAGGCCACTGGCACCGTGCAGGCAGGATCTCTCTCTAGTTAATCCAAAGTCATGTGGTACCCCCTCATGGTCCACTGGCAAGAGTTCTTTGTACCCAGTTCCAGTCAAAGTCTCTCCTGCTTTCCAGGCCACTTGGCCAAAGGGGGCACCCCAAAGCCACGTGGGCCTCTTTTACCAAAGCTGCAGGGGTCCGCACTCCACCAAAAGCATGTGGCTTTCTTCTTCACCTGGCTGCAGGGATCTTCATTCTGGCAAGGTTGTGTGGTTTTCCCTTTCACCTGGGAAAGAGGGGGTCTGCACTCTGCCAAAACCATATGGCTCTCTCTTCACCTGGCCAAGAGGGGACCCTTACTTTGCTGAAACCGCGTGGCTCTCTCCTTAATGGCTACCGTTTCTGGCTTTTAAATCCCCGTGCCAGTCTTCCTCTGTACCCTTATTTCCGACTCCTCCCACGATCAGTTACACCTGCAAGTATTTCTGTATTATTACAAGTTTACTGGACTGACATTGTTAGTCTGGGATAACTCAGCATATGTTATCCAGCAGTGGTCCCATGTCCCATGTCCTAGAGCCAATCTTCTCCAAGCTCCCACACAGGCGCTGTAACTTGGAGGACCTGCCCCCAGTTACATCTTGGAGAAGTGACTTCATCCCCCTAGCTCCAAGCATGGCCACAGCCATTTAACATATCCAAGTGACCCACCAAAGGCTATAGATATGTTAAATGACCATGCCATGGATTAGCTGCAAGGCTGGGGCTGTACAAAACAGCCCTGCATGTTCCTGCTCCATGTGTCCCTTCCCCCAACTCACACCTGTGAGGGGGAGAGGTGAGGGCATCTTATATGTCTCTCCAATATTCCTATACGCTTTGAACTCTGGACACCATTCCAAATCTTTTTTTTGCCCCCCTCCTTGGTTGCACCCTGTATCAATAAAAGATGCTGTTCAGGCTTCAGGGAAGGTGACGGGTGTGATCCCCCATTCTAGAACCACACAGCTGACTTTGGTTTCCATGCAGTTTGCCCTGTTCCTTAATTGAATTTAATTAATTTATCTTTTCTATTAGTATTATTATTTTTCCTCAAAACCTTTACCTAAAAACAGGCAAAAGAAAAAGGAAAGAAATAAAGAAAAACAAAAATTATTGGAGACTTCATGGTTTCAGGTGGGAAGGGAGAGGAGCATGGAGCTGAGGCCCCAAGCCTCAGCTGAGAAAGCTCTCACTCTTCAAAAGTGCCCTTTTTGTAAGGAGAGAAAAGCAGGGAATCTATCCCCCATGTCCAGCCTCCATCTGGTGAAGAGGGTAGCTACACAGTGGTCTGAGGGCCAGAAGGGCTGAAGGTGGGGCAGAGGTGGAAGGGGGTCACAGGAAGTTGTCAGCCAAGGGCTTTGTAGAGGGGATGCCCTGTCTATCCTGGGAAGTGGACTCAAAGATGGTTAAATCTTTCTGGATATGGTCAACCAGCTTCAAGATGGTTGCCATTTTCCCCCAGTGGTAGCAGTAGTGGGTTCTGGCCACACAGTGAGCACAGTTTTATCGGAGTGCTGCTTGCAACCCTCCATCACTACTTGGTGGGCACTGCAGATCATGTCAATTGTTAATTGCAGGTCATGTCCATGTTGCTGGCTGCACTGAACTGGGCCACCATGTCATTGATGAATAGGTAGCTAGCCCCATGTGGGCTTACACTTCCAGCCTGTTATGTCTTCCAGGGCAGACTAGAGCAGGTCACATATGGGCTCATCCCCTGAGGCACTTCTTGCTTTCAGTCAGTCTTCTGGATCTGCAAGTGTCCGGATAGACGGGAGAGGCCCCTGTGCATGCAGATATTGTCATCGATGATGGCTGACAGGCTGAAGTGGTCAAAGGGCTCAGTGCAGCAGTGCCACACAGTCACCAGGCCATATTTATGCAGTCACTCATCAGCGAAGCCTTATACCTGGGCAGTCTAATGGCTGTCATGGTTGCTCCAGATCAGGGTGATTCTGTCGGATAGCGAACCTTGTGTGCCAGCAGCAGGATGAATGTTTCAACGCTGTAGAAACCACGTTCCACAAAGTCCCTCATGAAGAGGTAGTTGGTCTCAGGGACATCACCACCCACTCCGAACAGCCGTTTGAGGTCATAGAATTATCCATTAACATTGCTGCATACTGTGACTGGCACGTCCACCCTCTGCACGTTGCTTTCCTCTACCAAGATCTCTCTGGCCTTAGCACGCAGGACCTTGACTTCGCTTTCCTTGAAGAGTTCGCAGTGTCACAGCTGCTCACTCTGCTGGTCCAGGTCGCTGATCTCTGCTTTGCAACCCCTGCCCACCCCCTCCCCCCACCCCCGACTGTGAGGGTCGGAGCAAGGGTTAGGGCTGCAGTGCGCAGGGATCTCTGGCACTGTGACTGTGGCTCAGGCTCTGGGGCTTTCTGCCTTCCTCCTTCCCTCTGGTTTGAGCTGCTGCCTCCACCATTTCTTCCTCCGTCCTTAACTTTAATACACACTTTGAAAATTACTTTTCTTATATTGCACCTACACGGTCTTCTGTCACTACAGGGAAATACTGGAGCTGTTGTCCAAAGAACTGGAAGTCATTTAGGTCTAATTGCTACTTTATTTCTACTGAAAGCAAAAATTGGACGGAAAGTGAAAAGAACTGCGTAGGAATGAAGGCTCACCTGCTGGTGATCAACACCAAGGAAGAGCAGGTACAGTCTAATAATAACATCAAAAACCCAGACTAGATTTTGTGCACCTCTCTTTGAAAAGGAGGAGGTTCTCATTGCTTTGGGATATTGGTCTGTGGCAAGGGCGTTCAACAAAACAGGAAATGTTTCTTAAGCCAGTCCACACTTTTTTTTCTGCTTCCATAAAACTAAACTCTCCCAAAATAAATGGAGACATTTAAAATATAATATGCGGGGTATGATTGGAAGAATGAAAATATTTCAGCCTAAAATATCAGTTTATTATTTAAACATGTAAATATTTTATAAATCATTAACTAACAGAAGTGGTATTAAGTCAAATAGGGAAATAAAAGAAACGCGAGGTTGTGAAAGGAAAGTGATCTAGTCTGCAAAGGTCTGCTTACGCCTAACTTGAAAGAATTCCCTCTCTTAATGAAGAAAAGAGAGAAGTGAGTCTGAGACGAAAATTCGTTATGATCATGATAGAAATTGAACATTGCTATGTTCTGAGTACGTGTGTCCTCTCCAAATTTGTGTGTTGAAATTCTAACTCTCAAAGGTGATGATATCAGAAATTGGGATCTTTGGGAGGTGCTTAGGTCATTCGTATGGAGCCCTCATAAGACCAATTACTATTCTTATAAAAGAGACTCCAAACAGCTACCTCACCTTCCACCATGTGAGCTCACAGCCAGAAGGTGCCAGCTATGAATTAGGAAGAGGGATTTACCCAACCGTGTGAGTACCTCGATCTGGAATTCCGGCCTCCAGAACTGTGAGAAATATCCTGCTATTGTTTCAAGCTGCCCTGTCTATGGTGTTCTGTTATAGCAGGCTGAATAGACCAAGGCAAACATCAGGCTCACAAGTGGTGTCAATGATCCTGCACTGTGCATCCAGAGAAGACCTACAGTCCTGGGCAGGGCCCCCACGTGGCTTTTGCCGGGTCATCTCTCCTTTTCTTCTGTTCTCCCCAAGGCCATAAGAACCTCAATTCAACCTGAATACTCTTAAGCCATAACTCTTTTCTTTCTCAGGATTTTATCATTCAGAACCTGAATAAAAACTTTGCTTATTATGTGGGGCTGTCAGACCCAGAGGGGAAAAGAGCCTGGCAATGGGTTGATGGGACACCGTACAATGGAAGTGCCAGGTGAGTATCATACTAGATAAAGGACCCCTGAGTCCTGGCTCTTTAGGCATGTTCGGGTGTCCAAACTGTCAGACATTAAAATGAAATACCTCACCCTTCTGTTAACTCTAGGGCACTAGGTTAAATAATTTCATTTATTATCTCATTTAATAATCACAAGAACTCTATGAAGTACACATTATTTTTTTTTCTCTCTGTAGAGCTGAGGAATCTGAGTTTAGAGAGTTTAGATAACTCAGCATATGTTATCCAGCAGTGGTGACAATGGTTTATAAAGCCGGGTCTATTTTACACCAAAGTCTGAGCTTTTGAACACATGTTCATATCTCTAAACAATCACACAGTCATGTCAATTAAGATCATAACCAATTGTTAAAATATTTGTTATCTCATAAAGCAAATGAACCAAATTCTGATAGTTTTATAATATCCCATATTTATGTAGGTCTTTTAAAACTCTAAAGTACTTTAGTACATTTTAGTACGTTACCACTTTTTGTTCTTATATTGTATGTGAAATAAACGGGTATATTACTCTATTCTTTATTTTTAGATATGTAAATGAGGGACATTAAATTACTTGATCAAGATAACAGGCATAGCAGCAGATTCATAGATTTTTACTTATTGAATATGTACTTCTTTAGACTCCAAAAGCAGTACATTACAAAAAAGCTGCGGTGAGACTTGGGACCAGGATAAACCTTTTCATTCATTAAGGGAGCCCATGAACTGACAGTCCCCTGGAATGGGACATGGACAAATAGAGGGGAGACTCTGGAATATCTGCTGGAAAGTGTTTAATTCAATAAGATGACTGAGTGATGTCGGCATAGTTTTCAAGGGAAATGCCAGAGACACAGATGGAGAAAAAAAACTGCCTGATAAGGTCGGGGCGAGATGATTGGGCATGTCTGCCTTGCATTCCACACAGTTCAACCCCTGCACCCTCTTCTCACTGGTTCTAACCTTCTCATTATTCGAAGACACATCCCCATCTTTTTTTCCTCTTTCAGATTCTGGCATCGAGGTGAACCCAGTAATTCCAATGAGCGTTGTGTTATACTGAATGCTCCTCATCAAAACTGGGGCTGGAATGATGTCCCTTGTGTTGGCCATCACTCGTCAATTTGCAAGATGGTGCAGATACACTTATGAATGGGACACTCTCCACGAACATGTGGTTGAACTGATATCCACCATTGAGGGGGTAGTTCATTTGCTTTTTAAAATTCATGTGGTTCTAAGTGATTCCAGTAGGTTGTCACCTATTCAGCTTATGTAAAATCAGTGTACATATTCTTTCATTTATTCCTTCATACAATGAATACTGACTGAGCATTTTCCATGGGCAGACAGTGTACTGGCAAGCCTATCTGCAGGTAAATAAAGAGAGCATGAGCCTCCTCTCCTGATTTTTGTCTAATTGCTAAGGGGTTAGATGCTGATGTAGTAATATGATGTGGTTCTTCCATCAATCTGGATTTATCTCTTTATAGGTTGGCCAAAAGCAAAATAATACCAACCATTACATTTCACTTCCCTCAAAGAGATTCATTATTTTCACCCAAAGCGTATTATTTATCAGCTGGAATATACGTATGTCAGTGGACAGTAAATCCCAGCTTTGGCCCAGTTAACATTCTCTGGTCTTGGACTGTCCTCAGTATCAGAGCACAGGCATAGGAGTATCAGCAATTGAGCATCAGATATTTAGAATCAGAGAATTAAAAGGCATTGCTGATGTAAAAAGAATATAAATGCAGCCTCTCTAAAATGGAGTCAGAGCTGCCATCCCAAAGCTTTGGAATGTTAAAACTTGGCACAGTAACCTTTGGAGTGAACCTAAAGCAGCATTATATCCCAAACCCTTGGTAAAGACAATAATAACAATAACAATAACAAAAGTTATCACAGCTTCCTGACTGAAAATGAGACACCTTCTTTAGAGTTAGTGTTATTATGTAGTCTATCTTTCCCTCTAGAAATCCCTATATCTCTTTATATAATTGTTCCTCTTACCTTTCTCAAATACCCCTTACTCTCAACTCCTACTTGGGACATTAAGTTTCTGTCTGAATCAGCACTTCCAGAATAGCTTTTGGATCTTAAAAAAATGCTTGTTGACTGTTACTTTGGTCTTTTATTTTTAGGTTAACACTGGTAGTAGACATAGATTTAATTTCATCAGATATTCTGATACATTTTTTCTTTAAGCATTATAATTTCTATGTATGGATTGCTACTGAACATGGCCCCTGGCATATTTACATTTCCCCTTTTACTACAGTTCATATATATAATTTTCTTTCCACAACAATATAAAATATATGATATTTATAACAAAGTCTATATTCATTGCTTTAGTACAGTAGTTGCAATAGATTATGATAAAGCTGATTTTTACCTTGACTATCCCACTATGGCCTAAAATTATACCTTGACTTTCTTGATTTAACTGATTATATTTACCATCATCTCCTGACTATATCTAAAGTTAAGTTATCTTTATGCTGGTCTGATTTTATACATTATATGTAGAATTTACCACTTTACTTCCAGATCACAATTTTGGAAAAATTGGGGGGAAACTTTATTTACAATGAGTTTCCTCATAATTATTTCAATAATATGGGGACAGAATGAAGGGAGGGCAGAAAGAACCACTTTACCTAATACCTTCGATGATCAGAATAGAAGGTGTGTTTGAACAGGAGTGAAATGGATAATGATAATATTGTTCAGTGCTGGAACTTTTCTCCTTCCTCCAATACACATTGCATGAATGTGGTTCAAAGCCTATTTCTTTAAATTTTCCTAGAAACTATTAAGTCAACATTGTGTTTAATAGCTTTTCTGTAAAATTTGTGTTAAAAAGTGACATTTAAATGAAGAAGCATCTAGTTGAGTCCCAGAAAATGGATAGAATTGTGAAACATAACACAAGTATTTATAGCCACTAAGCTGTGGGGTAACTTGTTATTCAGCAATATGTAACTGAGACAACTTTAAATTATGTTATACAGTTTTGAACCAAGATTCTGCAAAATAATGAAACATCTCAATCACATTGCTGCCTCTAAAAAGATTAGTAACAATTTAATGAGTATATTAATTGTACTATCAATAAATAAAATATAATATTAAAATATCCAGTGTTTATATCATTTAATTCCTGTTATTGTATAGTGGGTTTGTTATGTTACATTACAGCATAGGTTTGTGGTTCTTAAATATATCTTCAGTAGTAAATGTGCATATAATACTTTTTCTACTATTAAGGATGTGCAATCAAAAATTGTTTTGAGCACTGGCTGGTGTAGCTTGGTGAATTGAGCATGGGCCTGTAAATCAAAGGATCACGGTTCGATTCCCAGTCAGGGCACATGCCTGGGTTGCAGGCCAGTCCCCAGCACGGGACCATGAGAGGCAACCATACATTGATGTTTCTCTCCTTCTCTCCTTCCCTTCCCCTCTAAAGATAAATAAAGTATTTTTAAAAAATTGTTTTAATATCACTATTCTAGAAAAATGCATAAATAAGTAAGTAAGTAAATAAATCTATCAATGCTTCAAGCTTTTTTCATCAAACTACCACTTGGTAAATGAATGAGGCATAAACTCAGTGGAAAAAATACTTTTCCCCTTTGGGATTGGAAATGATTAACTATGGGGGCAACTTTTCTCGCAAATCCCCGAGACCACTGCGGATGAGAGTAAACATGACAAAGAGATGTGATGTGATTTGCTTGGGGAGGAGAGGTGGCCATTTTCCCAGAGGAAAAAGTCCGTTGAGTAGTGGCCAGTTTTTCAGGGGAAAAAGGCCTTGAGCTTCCTCCTCCAGGGCCTTTTATTGGGTTGTAATACACAGGAATACAGGGCAGCAAGGATCAAACAGTAGATAACATTTCAAAGAGATCTGAGGGCTTAGTATGAATCAGAGTCTGTCAGGAACAGAGTTTTAGGGTTTCCTGCTTAAACCCTTAACATATGAAAGCACTCTTAGCAGAGCAGATTTCACAGGTATATCAGGAAATCTTTGTGATGCCAGATTTTCCCCCAGGACACACTCTAGCAAGGCAGGGAGCTGCACCCCTCCCCATCAGGTATTCAGACTTAAGGGGATTAGAGCCAGGAAGCACTTCTCCCAGAGAATATGGGGACAGTCTGGCTTAGGTTGCCCCCCACTGTAAGGGGTCTTACCCATCATTGACTTCTGACCAAGCTTTGGGGGCAGGGGGAGGAAACTGAAGCAGTTTGCTACCAGAGACAAGCTTTGTCTCCTGTGGCCCGAATTCCAAAGGTTGTTTCTCACCCTTAGCCACAAAGTGTAGAGTTACAATTCCTAGAACCAGGCAGAGTGGTCTACAACAATTAACCTCCATGATATCTCTAAAGGTTGGATTCTCCTGGCACCTGACAACTCTAGTAGGCCTGTAGGAGTTAATTTTTATTAGATGATCTTAATACCAAAACATGAATGAATAGTTCTGTCTTTGCTAACATGAAAATCGTCAATGGTTCGCGTTTTGTCAAAGGTAAGTTTTATGACTCCAGCATGGAATAAATAATGGGAAAATTCAACTGTTAAGCCAAATGTGTAGTATAAGGATTTGATTAATCATATTCTGTCCACAAAATGAAATGCTCTGCATTAGTTAAAATTGTTGCAAATGGGATTCTATAATTAGGAGTTTGGCACATATTTGTTGGGCTATTTATCCTTTTTTTCCTTACAAGCAAAACTTCAGTGTTGTTTAGAAAGTCACTTTCCTCAAGCATCTCAGGTGCCTTGGGATGCTAACCTACTTCATATTCAGCTCCATGGGTCGATACCGATTAATCCAAGGTGATCAAAATAGCCACCTAGTGCTTGGTTTAGCCATAGGCACAAATTGCAAGTTATTCCCATGCACTGCCTCTGTTTTTTCTCAGAGGAATTATGGAACTAAATCTCCCTCTCCCAAAGAATATGAATAAAGAACTATGTAGTTCTCCTTACTGATGATAGTCATGCTATGATCATGATGGGAACTAGCTTTCAGAAGACAGGAACACCTTCCATATCATTTTGTGGCTTGATAGCTCATTTCTTTTCATTGCAGGGGATATCTTAGTGTATGAATATACTATAGTTTATTGATTCACCTATTATAGGACATCTGGGTTGTTTCCAGTTTTTGGAAATTATGAATAAAGCTGATATAAGAATTTATGTGCAAATTTTTGTGTACATGTTTTTAGCTCACTTGGTAAATACCTTGGAAATGATTGCTGGATTGTATAGTTAGTAAGTCCATGTTTAGCTTGGTAAGGAACTGGCAAACTGTGGTTCAGTGTGGCTATATTAGTTTTCATTCCCACCAGTTATGAGTGAGACATTATTTCTCCACATCTTCACCAGATTTTCACAGAGTCAGGGTTTTTTGTTTTTTGGCTTTTTTTTTTTTTTAGCCATTCTAATGGGAATTTAATAGTAGTGATGTGGGAAGCTTTGGAAAACCTTTGCTCACCCAAACCCCAAGCGCCCTGGGAGAGCGATAAGGCCGTCTAGGAAAAGCAAACAGCAGGATATTCACAAGGGCTAGGGCTAGCACCCCCGCAATTAGAACTTCACATTTAGCCTTTGCACTCTGCTTCTGTCATATAGCTAGAACTAATTTCTGCATTCCGCTTCTGTATCCCGCTTTGCTACGAAGACAGGAAGACCCCTGTAGACTATATAAACCCCAAGAATCCTTTGTTCAGGGCTCAGAATTTGGAGACTGACTCCTCTGGCCCCGTGCTCATTAATAAACCTTGTACTCCAGAATCCCTTGGTGTCTGGTTGCTTCATTTTCCTGTAACAGTGGTATCTTGTGGTTTTAATTTGCAATTTCATAATGACGAAAAACACTGAATGTCTATTAATATCCTTTTTTGCCACTATATATCTTTCTTGGTAGGGTGTCCATTCAGATCTTTTGCTCACTTTTTAATTCAGTTGTTGGTTTTTTTGTTAAGATTTTATTTATTTAGTTTTAGAGAGAGGGGAAGGGAGGGAGAAAGAAAGGGAGAGAAACATCAATGTGTGGTTGCCTGTCATGTGCCTACCAGTTGCCCTGGCTGCCAACTGGGGACCCACAACCAGGCACCTGCCCTGACTGGGAATCAAACCAGAGAACCTTTGATTTGCAGGCCGGCACTCAGGTCACACTAGCCAGACTCATGTGTTATTTAATATCAAAGTGTTTTGGGGTTTTACAGCTATCTTTTTATTATTGATTTCTAGTTTACTATCACTGTGGGCTGAACACAGACATTGTATGACTTCTACTCTTTTAAAATTTAAGGGTTTTTTGTTTTGTTTTTTTTGCCAAGAATATGGCCTGTTGTAGTAAATGTTACATTTGGGAAGAATGTATATTCTGTTGTTTTTGGATGAACACTAAATGTCAATTAGATTCACTTGATTAATGGTTCTGTTCAGTTTAATTGAATTCTTACATATTTTATTTCAAGATCTGTCAAAACTGTGAGAGTGGTGTTGATAGATCCAACTGTAATAAGGGATTTCTCCTTGCATTTCTATCAAGGAGTTGGAAAGGGTCCATCAAGGAGCAATGTCTTGCTTCGTGTATTTTGATACCCTGTTGTTAGGTGCATTCACATTAAAGATTGTTATGGCTTCTTGGAATATTTACCTCTTTATCATTATGTAATGTGTGCCTTTATTCCTGATAATTTTTGTTCTGAATTCGGCTTTGTGTGAAATTACTATAGCTACAGAGCTTTATATATACATATAATATATATGAAGCTTGTCCAGAAAAACTCCAACCATTGTTAATATAATAAGAATGATTTGAGCAAAACTGATGTAATGTGGCAGGCAAGGAGAGTGGAATGGAAGGTGTATGCATGAACAATTACGACTTCACTGTACTAGTCTGCTATGTAGTACAACATTGTGAAAATGTACCACAATTTTTTAACCCACTCATTACGGTTGGGAACTTAGGCTGTTTCCACCCCCCTGGCTGTTGTAAATTGTGCTGCTATAATCACTGGGATGCATTGGTTCTTTGGAATTGGTGATTTGGGTTTCTAGGGTATAATAACAGCAGTGAAATTGCTGGGTCAAAAGGCAGTTCCATTTTTAGATTTTTGAGGAAATTCCATGCTGTTTTCCACAATGGCTGCACCAGGCTTCATTCTCACCAATAGTGCACTAGGGTTCTCTTATCTCTACATCCTCTAGAACTCTTGTTGTTTGTATATTTATTAATGATGACCATTCAGACTGGTGTGAAGTGATATTTCACTGCAGTTTTAATTTGCTTCTCTTTGATAGCTAGTGATGTTGAGCATCTTATCATGTCTGTGGATTGTCTGTATGTCCTCCCTAGAGAAGTGCCTATTCAGGTCCTTTGCTCATTTTTTAATTGGATTATCTTCCTGGTATTGTGCTCTATGAGTACTTTATATATTTTGATGATCAAACCCTTATCCGATGTATCATAGGCAAATATGTTCTCCTATACAGTCAGTTCCTTTTTGTTTTGATGATGATTTCTATAGTTGTGCAGAAGCTTTTAATTTGATGTACTCCCATTTGTTTATTTTTTCCTTTATTTCCCTTGTCCTAGGAGGTATATCAGCAAAAATATTGCTACATGGGATATCTGAAATTTTACTGCCTGTTTTCCTCTAGAACTTTTATGGTGTCACAACTTATATTTGTCTTTTATCCATATTAAGTTTACTCTGGTGTATGGTGTAAATTGGTGGTCTAGTTTCATTTTTTTTCATGTACCAGTCCAGTTCTCCCAACATCACTTATTGAAGAGGCTATTTTTACTCTGTTTAATGCTTCTGCACCCTTTGTTAAATATTAATTGACCATAAAGACTTGGGTATATTTCTGGGCTCTCTATTCTGTTCTATTGGTCTATGAGTCTGTTCTTATGTCAGTACCAGACTGTTTTCATTACAGTGGCCTTGTGATACAGTTTGGTATCAGGTATTGTGATCCCTCCTACTTTGTTCTTCTTTCTCAAAATTGCTGCAGGTATTTGTGGTCATTTATGGTTCCATATAAA